TCTTTCCCCTGCAGCTGTGTAGCAGAGGTACACCAGGTTGGAGCTGAAATAAGCTCACTCCTAGTGAAAAAGTGTTGGGAACTGCAGCGCTGGCCAGCAGGGGTGGAAGGAGGGAGGAACAGGGACCTTGCTCCCGCTCTCTGGGCGGCTTTATGGTGCTTGGCTGCCACGTGCATTTTTTCAGTGTGGAGGTCCTGCAGCATCAAGCCAAATTCTCTTCTGGGTATACGGCCACAAAACCAAGGGCTGTCACGTGCAAGAGTGCTTGCTGCTCACAAAGCACAAGATACTAGCAAGCCCTTTACAGAGTGTATTCTTGATCAGTTTTCCAGCTTTGTCATGCGTTTAAAAATGAACGTCCAAAATTACAACTTTCTAGAGAGCTTTGTTTTATTTATGTAACTACTAGAAAGTGCTGGTCTAATCAAGTTTTAACCCACAACATCCACGTTTACATACTGTGTATGCTGAAGTTAAGTATGTTGTGGATATTCTTAAGATGAATGAAATTAGAATAGATTTTAACAGGCATGTCCATAACATTTTACTTACGAGTAAATTTTGCTCTAAGAATCACATTTAATTATCCCCCAAGAATGGAAGTCATGGTTGCCTTCAGATGTGCCTTCAGATGTACTCTGAATATTGTAAATAGTTTTCATCTGGAGCAGAGGGAGTATTAGTCATTATTTTTAGTAGAACTTTATTTCGTCTGTGGATTATTTTGATTTGAAGTCATTAGCTCATTCTTTCAGGAAGGTACTCATATGGGATTCAGCTGCTATATGTTTCATGCTCAAGGCAATGGCATTACAAAGAAAAAGGAAACGTTCGTATAATAGTAAACAGTCAAAAAGGCCCTTTTTTGTGAGGGAATCATTGACTGCTTTAAATTATTTATTTCAAAAGAGGAAAAAAAAATTTTTGATACATGTTTTATCTTATCACATGATGTTTTGAGGCTGTGTAAAGAATGCCATGAATGCAATAGTCTTTTTGGTATTAAATAAATCAAATAACTTATCAAATAAATTAACATATAAAATGACTTGGCGAGCATACAGAAATAAAGACTACTCTATAGCTGAATTAATTGCGTATTTTGCATATTCTGAAGAACTGTTCTGATTATAGAAAGCCTGATGCTTTCTGCTTGCTTTTGCACAGAATCTTTAACTAGTTCTCTTGAATTTACTTGGCATAAGCACCTCTTTCTGATCTTTTTTTAATGAAATATGGACTAATTCTGGAGAAACACTCAGTTTACTTTGCCTTTCTAATAATGTTGAAAAGGGCTGCTTCAGATGACTCTCCAGTGTATTTTGTTTTCTTCAGTGATTCTAATAGTTCAGTCTGCTCCCCCTAGGTCCTAGTGTGTTTTCACAGACCTTCATAGGTATTTTGTATTGGACTTGTATTCTTGTAGGGTTTTCTTTTTCAGACAGAGCTGTATGAGACCTCACAGAGAGGTGTGAGAGAGAAAATAGATTTTTTTTGAATTAGATTGTCTCTCTGCAGAGTCTGTCCTTTCAGAAGAATAATAAATGCTTCTTAGTTGAGAATGCAGAATTATATCTCTCGTTTCCTTGGCTTGGACAGACTGTAGTTTTATGCAGAAATCTTCCTTTGGAGATTTCCTTTTATAAATAAGCTTTAATAAAGCTGCTTGTTGAAATTCAGGAGCTGCACATAGTCAGTACCACTTCCCAAAATTCATTTTATGTTCTCATTCAAATGAAACATTGCGTGTGCCCGAATGAAGTCATTTCTGAGCAGGGAAACTTGGCAGCTGAAGGTACTACTGCAGTCCCTGGAGAGGTTTTTGCTCTATATTGCCCTTACACATGGCTCCCCTCCCAACCCAATGAGGACGGCTGGGGAGCACCTCGGGGAGCTGGAGGGCATGAGGACCAGTGCCTAATAGTGATGCTGGCGTATGTCCCGTGGAAAACCACTTGGAGCAAGTTGGGTTCTGCAAATGCAGGGGAATTCCTGGTGGAAATGGAGCGCATGTTCCAAACCTCTCAATAGTCTGCTCCTGTGTTAGCAGCCTTACAGGGAAAAAAGCAAAAGAAAGCAGCAGCCTTTGCAGATCTGCCATCTCTGTGAAGACTGACTTCAGTGCTAACAGGCTACCCTGGTATGGCAGCAATCTGTTGGTCTCTGCAACTTTTTATTTATTTTATAGATAAATTGGACCAAAACCTTAGTAGTATTTCTTTCTTTATGAAACATAGTTCATGTTTAAATGCATTCAGCACAAAAATCAATGCTTTCACAGTAAGATTAAATCAGTTGTGTTTTGAGATAGCTGGTACTTCAGTTATTTTTAACACTGCTTCTAATATGATTAAACTAAGTGAGAACTCTAAAGTGCTTTGCTGGCAAAAGGCCATGTTGGCTGCAAGATTTTGAAAGTATTTTGTAACCTACCAGCTGCCAGATTTCAGGCTGATGGCAAAGTCCGGAGTCTACCCTCTACACTTCCTTAGGAGAAATCGTAGTATCTATTAATATTTTGTTCTGAAGGGTCTCAGCTGAAAACTACGTATTGCAGCTGGAAACTCCATGTTGGTTTCCTGGCCTGATCCTGTTTGCAAGAATAATGATTTTGTTTTTTATTCTGGAGTAGCTTCACGGGCAATTGGCTGCTGAATAACTCTTGGCAAATTCAAATATGGGTAGAAGTACGCGGTATACCATGGCACTGCTTGTAATTTGAATAGCAAACAAATTTACTGAACTGTTTTGAAAACTCCTTTCTGGTTCATTCATTTTCTTGAATTGTCTTAGCATGGCACCGTTATGTCATGGGTTATTCATGTGAGAACGTCTTGGAAGCTCTGTTCTAGGACTGCCACAGCATCTACGTTTCCTCTGTGGGTAGTGCTCAAGAGGAAAAGACTAAAACAGACATATAGCAAAGAAAAATGAAAAAGATTTTGAATGTGTAAATGCGTTGCTAATGTTGATGCTTTCTGGCCAATAGCTCCGTCGTATCATAAGACTGTTTGAAATAGCAACGTTTCCAAACGTAGTGATTGTTCTAACTCATTGTAGTTGTTAACACTTACATCTCAGAGTTCCTGCTCAGTGCCTTCTGGCAGTAGTTTTGCAAATAAGTAAGACTGAGTCCCTTATAGGAATCTTTCTACATAGGAATCTTTCCAAGTAGACATTATCCCTGACAAAATATTTTCTGAAACGTTTATTAACATAAGGAATGTTGTCTCTGTGTCTCATTTAGTGCATTTTCACACATTAGAAAATTATGAAAGATCTATAGGTGTACAATATCCCCCTCCTTTAATTATTTAATGCCTGTAAACTCAGCAAATTAAAAAATATGAAAGGATGACTTTCAACTTCTATAGGATTGACTTGACTCTCCCCTATACTTCAGTAGGTAAATTTGATCAGGATTTTTTAAAAATTTCTTAAGAATTCTTTAGAAATGTGGGCTGGTATAAATGATGTAATTTAGGTAACAGTTTGGGAGCCTTTGTCACCTGTGAATAAGCAGCCATGTGCCACCTAGAGGCATACTGGAGTTGTTGCACAACTTTACTAGCAGTTACTGTTTTGCTGCAAAAAGAAATGATCATTTTGATTATTTTTGTGAAATGCAGTGCGTTAGGGTGGTTCCAGTTATTCTGAAAATTCATCTGAATTCTTTTGCCACTCGCTATTGAGTTTTCTTTAGCATGCATTAGTATTCAAGTAATAACACTGAAGGGTTTTTTTAAGAAATCAGCATTATTTTATATTTTGTTTCCTACATTTTTTGGATTTATTAAATAAACACATCTAACGATATTTGCATCCTATTTACCTGTTTATCCTATTTATAACTCTATTTGCATCCTATTAAGAACAATTTATAGAAAGCAAGCAGAAGAAAGCTCAAAAGTTAAGAACAGTGATGCCCTAAATACTTTTATCAGCTGTATTTCAAGCTCAGTTGTTTTGGGAGAAGAGAGTGTGGCTAACTATATGCCACCTAGTGAGACAATTTTGTATGCCTCTTTTGTGCTTGAAGAAACTAAAAAGGACTTTTGCAGCTTTACTCTTTACATGTATTAGCGTGCAATATGGAAGAATGCCAGAGGGACTTTCATGCTGGAAGTTCCTTATGAAATGTTCTTTAAAATCTTTTGAACAAGTATGGTGCTTTTACTTCCATAACTGGACAAGTGTGCATGTGAAGAATGATATTTCTATTTTTCACTTTGCAATGATTTTTCTGTTAAGGATGAAGGTAACTAGTGTTTTACTAGCTTCAGGTATAGGATGTGTGCAGAACTGGTAATAAACATTTTACTCAGAGCAGAACTTTTCAGCAACACTTTTTCTATTTTCATATATGCAATATTTAGTGAATTTAAAAGGTTATAAAAATAACAAAAGTAAATACTATGCTGGCAGGTGACTGAGTGATCCCTTGCTAATTAAAGAGTCAGAGTTGCCAGCGCTTTGCTTTATCCTACAAATATAAAGGATATATTTCTTCAGAGAGTGTTTATGAAACTTAACTCACTAGTGCTTATGTTGCATATGTGTTAGCAGCATCATTTTTGTTTCCTTAAAATAAACTCATTACTTGTAAAGCAGTCTACTTGTTGCACTGGATTTCTCTGACGTAAAAGTATCTCCATGGTGTCTCACTCAGTGCCTACTGGCCAAATATTTTTAGGTGATAACTTTAGGTGATTCGTTTATTTTGCGTATTTGGTTTGTTCTTCACCAATGACTGGACCTATACCACACACTGTATCACAAAGGCTTATTCTGAATAATGTTCTGTGTTACTGACCTTCACTTACTACCAGCCAGAACTAGATTAGCACCTGCTGACTTGGAGGCAAAGGCTTCCTACCATTTTCTTAATCTTGCAGTGATCTGGTCCTTAAAGTGAGGCCAAGGATTAAAGAGCTTCAGCTGCACTCTAAGCTTAAAAAAAAAAAATCCACTTTGTGGAGGTTTTGTATATCAAAACCAGTCTAAAGGTTTAATTACAAATATTGCTTAGTGGATAAAAAGTCTTATGTTAAGAGAAATGAAATCCATACTGACATCTGCTAAATTGAGTTTAATGAAAGCTGTCTAAAATCTGTCACTTATCCAAGTCCTGTCAAAGGGAACTTAATGGATTTTGACATTCTGGGGATGATAAAACAAATCTATTTTTTCATTTCTGTGATTTAGTTTTGTTAAATTTCTTAAATGAGTGAACAGAATCAAAACAAGTACATTAGAAACATTCCTACATTATAAATCATTTGTCTGTCCAATTTATTTAGGGGTTTCCAGGAGATATTGGTGTACCTGGAGTAAATGGCCCTGAAGGTCCAAAGGTAAGACTATGTGGAACTTTATTCACAACAGCAGTAAAGAGTATAAATCTCTGAGGAAAAGCTCTGAGAGATGGACATTGGCATTATAAGAGGATAATTTTACTGTCAGACTGCAGGTACTTTGCCTCAGGTGTTATATGAGGAAGTCAGCGTAATGTTTAATGCTGTCCACACAGTTATGAGGGTGATTTCTGTGTTAGAAGGAAGCATGTAATGACAAGTTAAGTGCCAGGAAATCTGGAGATAGAACCATACAGCTAGAAAGTAGTAAATATTTCACCTATATTTAAATAAGAGAAAATGTATTCCAAATGCACATAGACCTCTATAATCTCACCTGAATACTACATGATATTTTGAGCAAATTTGGAAGGAATTAATGGCTAAAAATATAGACGGATGAATAAAATTCACATACATCTACTAAAGGATGGACTGTGCCAAATTAATTGAGCATCTGTTCTTTCGTAGAGTAACTAATAATTTAAACCAGGCTTAGGCAATAAGTCACATATATGAAGTTTTCAATGAAGTTTTGGATAAAAACATGTCTGGGAAATTTTTCTTTCAAATGGAAAAGGTAGAGACCAATAAAAAGAATGTAGGTAGGTCAGAAATTAACCTATAGGAAGGTGACTGGGTTGTACCTAAAGACTGGCTATCTGTGGCTGAAAGGAAAGTACCAGTGAAGTTCCTCATTTATCATTCTTAGGACTGTTCTTACATAGTTTTTTCAGGAATAAATAGGCACAAGTATGTCAGAATGAAATTTGTATAAGAAACAAAGTCGAGCATCTTTAAATAATGTTGAAAATTGTCATTTGTACCAATTCATCCCGCTTCTCATGCGTGCAGGAGTTGAAACAATAAATCCTACTGCAAACATAAGGCTTCACAGCCAGCAGTAGAAGGAAAGACAATGTCAGGCCTCTTTGAAGGAAGAGTAGGATAAGGCTGTTAGAAATTAAGTGTAATTCTAGAATGCATCAGGCAAGGTATTTTGTTAACACCATTGTACAAAGCACGGAAAGACTTTATCTAAGTAGTACATGCAGTTCCAAGCATTTGTATTCAAGAAAGATTCAAATGGGAATAGATGGAGAAAAGGCTGCTTGAATGACTGTATTATGAGAAATGGCTTATTTTTCCTGCCAAAACAAAGGGCCTCTCTGAGCTGCGTAAGTAAAGTGGAGGGCAAAAATTAAGGAGACAAAAAACTGTGCAAGACCAACAATGACACTGGGCCAAGAACAAAATATGTGAGCTACCCGTGACTAAACTGAAATAGAAATTAGAAGATTTCTCATCAGCAGAGCAATGAAGTTCTGGGGCAGCTTGCTTAAGAAAAAACAGGACAGGGAACTGTAAGTGGCTTAAAAATGGAAAGTGGTAACGATCCCTCCATGCCAAAATTAATCATTCTAGAGAACATCTCAAATAATCCAGTTGCCAAAGCCCTAGTCATGTTCAGTTTTTTCTGCATCTCTTTATCTTTGAGCTGTGTCAAGATCCTTGTCCCAAAATAGCCCAGACATTAGTTTACTAGGGTAGCTGAAAACTCAGTATTTGATGGGGCAAAGGGGAGAAGTTAAGAATATGTTTCCAGAGGCAGGCAGGAACCTTTTCATTCTTTCATTCTGATTTATAGCTTGGTTAACTTATTCGTTTTTCTTATTTATCTGTATGATGTTAGCAACCTTTTATGAATGATTCTTAGCTGAACGTTGCAGTGGTAGTTGCTCCTGTGTTCCGAGAACAGCAAATTATTAGGGCATCTAGAAAGAGCTTTTAATGAAAGATTGTGTCTATGGTCTAGGGAACGTAGGAGAAATGCAGGAGTTCCTGAACTTAAGATCAAATTTAATCATCTAAGTTACTGATATATGAATATTGTAACTGAGGTCTAATCCCACTACCCAGTTTCTTTACTAAGTGAGATCGTATTATTCCTCATTACATCCAAAGTGCAAAATTAGATGTTTTTGTTAGAATATGGTTGATATTTCAGACATACGGTACTGATCTATCACCTTTTCACTCAAATTCCAGCAAAAAAGTGCTAAAAGACAGCCCACAGTGTTTAAGACTCTGCTTTCCTTCAATAAAGTAATTATATAGCTGAACAAGATTTGGTGGCCTCCAGCATATTTGCTCTTAGAGGCAAAAAGCTTAGCCTGCTTTAACCAGGGAGATTTGCTGATTTACATCTGAGATGTAGTCTTACCAAAGTGGAAAAATTCTTAAATTGCTCGTAATATCAATGGAGAAGGGCTGCATAATGCTGGAGATGTGTCTGGCTTTCAGGATTCCCAGGTGTCTTGTGTTTACTGAAATTTTAAAAACTTTCCTCCAGCTTTTTTTTAGGAAAACTTTTTCCACTATGCTACCCTCCTTATGCTTTTGTTTTATGCTTCCTCAGAAGCAATACCCATTTTAAAAGCCAAGAAGGCAAGATAATCTTCATTTTTTAGCAGTTGGTATGGGAGAAATTCAGCCTCGTGATGAAAGCTTAAGCTCTGTGAGCATGATCAGCCATCTCCAAAAACCAGCAGCACTTCTGGATTGCCCATTTCCTCCAAATTAGTGTAGTAATCAGCAAATCTGATCTCCCTAAAATGATGATCAAAGGCTATATTACATAATTTGGTCAACAACACATTATTCAGCTTGAAAACCATATTTTAGAAGGTGTTTGATCTTGATCCACTGCTCATAAAAAGGTACAATTACATAAAAGAGAAAAAAAATGTTTTTAATTTGAGAAGTTCCGAAATAATTTTCGGTTTATTTCCTATGTTGTTCTTGTAAGTATTCCTGTTCCGCAACCAAGAAAAGTGAGAGGAAAAGACAGACATATTCTGACTGCAGCATAAGTTTTTCCAGCAACGTTTACTGTACCATGAAAGTAGCTGAGAACTTTTTTCCTCTGCTAACTGATGTTTTGTCTGGCTAACATATTTAGCACTCGTGGCTATTAAGAGTTCCACCAGTCCTGGAAGAGATAGTCAACTGGAAAGTTATATATGTATATATGTTTTTGAAATATAGGGTGCCCCTATTTGCTGACTCCCCAGATTCTTTCCAGACCTTCTGGCACATCTCTAGCAACTACCTTCATTTTCTGTTGTTTGCCTGAAACCTCAAAGCAGAGATGGAAAGTTCATTTAGTTGTAATACCCCTTTTAAAGTCTGAGACTTTTTTCAATATCCAAGTAAGTTCAGTGTAAGGGCGCATGCAATAGCGGTGTTGCTAACATTTCTACTGTGCAACCGCATGGTACTGAAAACCATATCTCTTACTGTGCTTTGCTGTTACAATGAACCTACGGTTTTCCTTACTAACTACACGATAATCTTATTTAGGTTGTGCTACTAAAAGCTTTCCTGCTGCTTTTGCAGTGGCATATCGCGCTGCAGTTCTCTGCCCCAAGGTTTCGTAGACGTATTGGTAAAACTCGGCACCTCGAGGAGGCTGGTTCTGTTTTCTCTTCCATTTTACTTTGCGTGCTAAGTAGGCTGTTACTGGACCAATGCCTGCACCTTCAGTCTAGACTTCAGCTTCATTAGTAAGCAATTAATAAGGCTTACACTTGAAACTTTCCCACCATCTCTCTCTTCAGAGGCTAATCATCTCTCTCCTAAAGGGCAGTTTCATTGTTCTTGTTGCTTTATCTGATATTGTTAAGCTTAACTTTCCCAGAACGTTAATAATATGTTTACACAGACTTTTTCTTCTTGTCCTAATTTCTGTTCAACTGCTTTTCCTAATTACTACCATTGTAATTTGGATGACCGAGATTTTTGACACGCTGCTAGCTGCTAAGTCATTTTAACAAAGTTTTGGAAATGTTGCTGTAGGCAGATGTGAAAACCTGGAGTTGGCAGAGGCCAAGGTTCTTTATCTCTGGGATGCTGATTATAATCCTGACAGAGAAGTAAAGGCTGAAAATCAGAAGTAGGTCTGGACAAGCTAGATTCACTTTGTAGTTCGTTTCCATTGCAACATTGTCATCAACTGTTATGCTAAAAAAGTACCTAAATCAAAGCTCAGTGGAAGTTGTTGGTTCTACTTTTAATCTTAATGTGATGGCATGATTTATGTCTTCCTAGAAGAGAAATTGTTCCTTTGCAAGCTCTAATTTTTTCTTATTTCCTTTTCAAAAGAATAAAAGAAAAAGTCTCAGAAAAATCTGGGTAGTTGAAGTTTATAAGATACTAAGATTTCCAACAGATGTTAAAATTCTGCTGTGTCTGCTCTTGGTTCCTTAAGGGAAAAGGACAATAGTAAGTAATGAGGTGTGCTTTCTCAATTTTCAGCTTCTGTCCAGGTTTTTGAAAGAAAAGACATTAGGCCAACGTGACCCTTAGTTAATGTAAGGGCTCACTATTGTTGTTTTGATGCTTAGGGACTTCTCGGTGACCGAGGGCCTCCAGGGCCACCAGGGGCCAAAGGAGTTGAGGTAAGATAGAACAATTATCTAATCTACAGATTACTTTTACAAGAAAAAGTTGGGGGAGGTTGTAAGATTATAGCAGTTAGGTATTTATGGTGTTGCCATGCAAGATTTCAGGTTTGTTGCATTTTGGCAAAGGTTGCATAGACCTTTAGCAGTGTTAGAGGGCTTTATTTCAGTGGTCTCAGGGGAATCCCAGAGAACGTGGGCCCAGTCTTGCAAAGAGTTTTCAGCTAAAGTGTGGCAGGGCTGGGGAAGGGAGAAAAAGTGCATATGAATTTAATTACAGTATCCCAGTTAAGTAAATGGTGAGATCCCAGTCAAGTGAAGGGGGAGGAAGGCAGCCTGCCAACTTGTAAATTTATTAAGTATTCCTAATTTATCACCATAAAAATACGATTTCATATTTTGGGCTAAATTAATTTTAGAAATCATTTAATCAATGAATCTAAGGATAGCACTTTGGACTTATAAGTAGCTTGCTTAATTATGGGCTTTCATGACAGATTTTGAGTGATTAAAGGCTAACAGGGCTAAATGATCTGTTTAGCTAGAGGCCAGGAAGATGCAGATAGGGTTTCTGAATTCCTTTGTTTCATATTGCTTGTAATTGAAAAGGTTGTGTATTGCTTCCTCCAAAAGCCAAAGCAAATCTTCTATATTGAGAAGGATCAGTGAACCATAAAATGATCACAGCATGATGTCCTTACACGGCATTGATACAACTCCATGCTTTACTATAACTTCATACTGAGTTCACCCTGAAGAGTTAACACTGCAGTTCCCTGTTGTGCATAATTATATCAGCGCACATTGCAGTGTAGGCAGAGTCTCATTTCTTCTCCTAAACCTCTGACAATTATGCTGCTAGGAATAACAGCCTGGCCTCCCAATTGCCTCCATCCCTCGGAAAAGGCAGAACAGCTTTGCTGACTCGGTTGCTGTGCCATAGCCATGGAGAGGTGAAGAGCAGGAACGCTCCTACTGCTCACATACTCCTCAAGTGTCAGATGCTGCTAGAAGGAAACTAACCATAGGACAGACAGAGAGGATGGCCATCATTGCAGAGTCTCCCCCTGCTCAAAAGTGTGAAAATATTTCTGTTAAAAAAAAAGTGTACCAACTGTTTCACAGCCTTTCTGGCTGTCTCTGGCAGTTGCATATGGCACAGCTTTCCAGCTAAAGAATTTAACTGAGGTCAAAATAGTTTATCTCATAATGTTTTCTTCAGACTTAAAGACCCATAAAACATATATGAAGCAAATTTAAGATGATACCGTATATAAAAACAGTCCTCTGCAGATTTTCTTTAAAAGCTAGACTTGATATCGAGGTTACTAAAGTCCTGATTTCTTTTAGGGAGAAATAGGACCGATTGGACATATTGGAGGAGTTGGACCAAGAGTAAGTATAATTAATTTTGCTACTGCAGACTGTTTTTCAGCAGCAGAAGAATTTTTCTTTTGGAGGAAAAATTTACTGTGAAAAGTGACTGTGTTAAAATGGCATCTCCTAAATAAATGCATCTCTTTTCTAAGCATATCTTTTAAGGAGATTAAGGAGGAGAAATGGTTTTCCATATGCAGGATTTGGGATGAAACCACTACGATTGTTCACAAAATAAAAATCTTGAAAAGGAAAAAGATGCAGTAACAAAGTGGTGAGGCTTCTGAGACAGAGGAAACCATAGTGCACTTCCTAGGACTGAACTACAATCAGCATACTTAAATCAGGGAAGAGAACATGACACTTAGCTCATAGAGAGCGATATAAAGGATTGATTTTTTTTAAGAAATCATTCTGCAATTGTAAATCTAATTGTCAGCTGCTGAAAGCAGTAAAACTGGGATGTCACAGTCATTTGTACTATCACATTTTAGAAGATAATTTCACTTCACTAATTTTTAATTGTGAAAATGTACCATTGCTAAGCATATTTTGAGGGACTTGAAGCTTATTTTTAGAAAAATTCTAAGCTAAAAGTGAGAAATGGCTGATGGTAGGGGCCACAGGACTGTTGAACTTCACTGAAAGCAATATGAACTTCTGCCTTTACTAAATTTGCTTATGTGGGGAGAATAATTGTCTTGAGCTTCATTTTGGATGACTTCTCATTTCTTGCATGGACTTGGGAAATTTTTTCCCCTGTTCCCCAGCTCTAGAATGGTTATATTCCTATGTCATTTTTCCTGTTCATTAGCTCTCTTGCCTCTATATTACAGCTAATAAAAATTGGGAATTTAGCTTATTTTCAACATGCATCAGGCTATAAGTTTAAAACAGTTTAATTTTAGCTGAGGAAAAATACAAAAAATTTAATAAATTTCAAAACACTTTGTGACTCAGTTCAATATTCAGCTTCATCTGCCTTAGTGCTTGCCAAAAGCCTCATGGAAATTTTTATTTTGGCTACATCATCCTTTGTCTCCTCCTTGGGCAGGGCTTCATGGCTGGACAGTATCTTCCATGTTGTGCAGTGGCAATTGGGAAAGAGAAGCTGCAGAGCAGACCCTACCTTCCCATTTTTGTGCATCACCACACACACACAGGCTGCCATCAGCTGGTGTCAAAGTGACCCAAGAGGAAAAATTTCTGTGTAACCCAGCAAACTGAAATATTTTTGATCTTCTGGGTCAGTTTGACCTAAATTGCTCTTGATTTTTCTCAATGGAAAACGTGTACACCGTTGGCATGCCTGATGGCTGCTCAGTTTCTCTCTCTCAGCAAGCTGTTGAGAGAAGAATGTGTTGGACACTGAAGTGGGCCTCAGCTTGCTGTCTGCAGACATTTTTGAGTAGCTTGCTGGTTAATGTTCCCTCCTGAAATGAGAGAGAGGAGAAATGGAGATTTTGTGGTTGGTAGGGAACCCTGCCTGGTTTTCCCCTTTGTCCCAAGACCCATCTGTTTTCACCTGGCCTCTGTTGGCTCAAGCTACTTCAGAGCTTCAGGTCAACTTTTTTGCCCTGCCTCTCTGAACTCCGCTCCCGCTTCTACTTGTCCTTGTTTCTTCCCTCCTGCTTATAATACAGATTGCATGATTACATTGCAGAAATAGTCCCAGTCACAAAGTTGTTAAATCTAATATAGTTTAGCAGAACTGAGTCAGTAAGTTCTTGAACACATCTGTCTTTAAATTTTTCTTGCTTGATTGCAGCTTCACCTTCATTTCATTTACGTAGTCTTTGTTTCCAGGTTCCATGAAGGGTATTTAAAATACATCTGAAAGTAAATGTTATCAAAGCTGTGATGATATATTTGTCTTCATTGTATTAATTAAGTAGTCAGGTGGTGTGGAAAAGGTGTCTGAGAGGGCCTGAAGAAGTGATCTACCATGCACAGACCTGAAGCACCCTCAGTGGTCAGCTGTTACGCCCCTCTGAGCAGATGCCTCTCTAAGCTGCTTTTTTGCAGCCTCTAGGGGGTGAGGGTTCCTCATCCTGCTCTGCTTGTCTTTCTGACAGTTTTTCTAGTGTCTAGCCTTTCTGTCTGAATGTCTTGCCTGTGTCTTTCTTGCTGTCTTGCCCTACAGGCCTATAGTGTGCATAACAGGTTATTCTCTTCCTTTCGGCAGCTGTTAACCTGACTTTCTATAGTTTTTTCTAACCTTGTTAAGGTAAAATATCTTAGTAGGTGATATGTTTTAGATCTTTGATTATTCTTATAAAACTATTCCAGTTGTCCCTTGGGTGGTAATGGAACAGGTTTCTAGCTGATCTGGAATCACTAATCTCCTCTACTGTGTAGTTTTCAGGTAAAAGTGCTCAGGCAATGTCAGATTTAGGCACGTGCAAAGCAAGCGGCAATACAGTTTCTCCTCATTTTTAATAGCCCTTTCTCGCTCTTCCCCCCTCCCCCCCACCTTGCCCTGTTCCTAACATTCGCTCAAAAAATGAATGTGAGACAGAACACACCCCTGGGTGCCACCTGACAAATGCTGCCAGCAAAATCTATCATCAGCTACTGAAACAGAAGGTAAATTTGAACCTGTACTCCAGATCCCAGGTCCCAGCTTGGAAAAGACTTCCCATATGTCTATGTATTTTATAATATACTTGAAAGATCTTTGTTTCATGGCCTCCTGCTCTGATTAATGTTGCCGTATTTTTTTCTGATAACAGTATACTACTATCTGAGCATCACAGCAACAAGATCTGTCAACCGCAAAATGCTAGCAGAGAGCTGAAGTTTAAAATAATCAGGTTGAATAAAGAAGAGATGTTTGAGCTGGTTCTGGCTAATTGAGAAAGGACAGTTACTACACCAGCCCCTAAAGACTAAAGATGAGACTCATTTAGTGAGACTTCCCGTTATGCTGGAATTAGACTAGAAGAGAGCATACCCTTACCTTTTCTTTGTCTCTTTAACACAATTTTTAAAGTGAAATTGGAATACGTTAGATTCTTGCATTGTGACAGTTTTTCTCACAGTATAACTGCTCTAAGAGTTGATATGGATTCTGCTTACTGGGCTAGTATGTGCCGCTATAATCAACGATGTATTTCCAGATTAAGACTTATAAATTGGCTTCAAACATAGGTATTAAATATTACCAAACAGTGTATATTTTTGAGTGCATATATTTTGATAAATAGAGAAATTGGGGTAAAATTATTATTTTTAAAAAATAAAATATTTAAATTATTTCATTTTAATCATTATTTTAGGGAAGGCCAGGGCGGAAAGGTTATGTAGGTGACCCTGGACTGGAAGGCTTAAAGGCAAGTGATGGTTTTATTTATGAAATAAAATGTATTTGAAGTATCAATTGTGTACATACATACATGTGCCAGTGAAAAGAGACTCATGCACATGCGGAAGCATGCACATGTAATACGAACATATGTCATACTGGTGATTCTGCTTACTTAGAGAAGCCTTGTTTGGAAAAGGAAAAACTCTATGCAGAGCTATGAGATGGGGATGTGTGAACAAAGACAGCACACACTAAAAGGAGAGCTGGCTATCTGGGGATGTGAGGGCAGCACGGGCTGGAGCTGGGGGTGGTGATGGAGAAAAGGCTGTTCTTGCACTAGTGGGATTGCATGGGGGCATGGGGTGCAGCCCTTGTGGCTGCCAATTTTCTCAGTGCTGGGTTGCAATCTGAGCAAACAGTCCCCATACCACTATTTGTCAGGGCACAGGGATTGTAGCTGTTAATACTGCATATAAACCCAGCTTCCGCTAGTAAAATGCGTAGTGAAATGCCCTGGAATAACATGGCTCGCAGCATGTTAAGAAGAGCAGACTTTGTTTATCTATACTTAACAAGAGTTTCAAGCATAGCATTCAAAAATCTTTTCCAAGATTTTTGGAAAAGAAAATAGTTTGTTAAAATGTCATTCAAAATTTTTGGAAAAGAAAATAGTTTGTTAAAATGTCATTCAAAATGTTTGTTTAAAGTATTCTTTACAAAACCATCATCAATATGGAGTAAGGCCATTTTGAAATAAAGAGGTAAATAGAGATAAATACTTGAATGATTTCTATTAGTTTTCCCAGTATAACATTTGCTGGCAAAATTGAAGATGATCATAATGTGTACAGGTAACTTACTTTTGAAGCAATTGTGAAATAATAAAGATAATTGTATTTGCTAAAAGGAAGATTGAAATGAGAAATACATCATTTATTTGTAGTATTTGCTGACCTAATGCATTTAGTAAGCCCTTAATAAATAGCTTTCATTTCTGTGGGCAAGTCTGTCATAAACAGAGGAATTAAAGCAGTACTTACTTCTCATTACACAATCAAAATTAGCTATGGACAAAATTCATTTTTTGTTGGTTGCATAATTTTACTTTTGGAAGTTTTAATTGGCTGCTGCAATTTAGAAAATAAAGACGCTCTTAGGAAAATAGAGAAATTTAATATGCACATATGAAAGAAATTACATTTTTAATCAACCACATCTGTTTTCTCCATTTAATAGGGAGAACAAGGAGACCAAGGAAACCTTGGAAAAATTGGTGAAGCAGTAAGCTTGAATTCTCTTTCTAGTTTTATTTTTTAATCTTGTGCTCATTTGAATGCTAATTGTTGCAGTAGCTTTTGGGGGAGGTTTGCCTTTCTTTGAAGCTGTAGTGTCGATTATACCTTTGTGATCTTTCAGAATCATACTATGTTAAGAAATTTACCGGTTTAAGTACCTTCCAGAATTAATTTTTTTTCCTACTGTAAATATTACAGGCTTTTATAAGTATCTTCCAAATAATGTTCAAGTAAATGAACAACTGATCCTTCTTCAGTGAAATGTTTTGAGAGGTTATATTTACCCTGATACGTGTTTTGCAGATTTGTTCTGTCTGCCCTCCATAAAATCACAGAGCTCAAGGTGACCTTCAGATGGCATGTAGTCCATCCTCTTCTTCCTAGGCAGGATCGGTTATCCTTATATCACTTGTGACAGATATTTGGCTAGCCAGTTCTTAAAAAGCTCCAAGAACAAAGGCTCCATGATCTGCCCAGGCAGCCCAGAGCTATCTTCTTTTTTAAGTCTGATGCACCAATATTTTAATTCTGTTCCCTTTAATGCTCTTACGTTTTCCGGTATTATCCATCTTCTGTCTTTGGCTGATATGCCTGTCATCGCTGCCTGAGATGCCAAAAGAGTTATCACTTTTCTGTAATAGCTTTTCCAGGTCAAATACTATTTAATATCTGCATGGAAAAATACAGATGAAAGCTATGCACAAGCTGGGAAGATTCAACAGCGGGAGTCTGGAGCATAACGTTTGGCTATTTACAGCCCAGTAAGATGGGGAATGTACTAAAATGTAAAAATGCAACATTGTCAGTTGATCAGCAGTCATCTTGTCCAGTATTTGTCCGTTCACACTGCTGACTCTTTATAGCCCATTTCTGCAGAAATATTTTTGGTTGCTTATCCCATGTGATAACCGAGTAGATTAAATTTATAAAATGTTCACTGTGCCTATAAGCTTAAAATGAAATATACATTTTAATTTTAGATCAGGGATGTGACTAAGATTGCACTTTAGTCATTGTTCCTTAACTGACCCCTATGACTAAAAGTGTTTATCTGGCTACAGCATAAGCCCCGTTGACAGGGGAAGGTGGTCAGGTTCAGTAGCGCTGCTTGGCTAAGCAGAACTCAGATCTGAGAGGACCTAGCAGCTATCCTTTTCTGCAAGGTTGTCAGTTGCTGCAGGACCAGCAGATCTAATTGCAAAGGGATTGGTTAAGGTAGGGAGAAGTAAGGGACAGCAGGCAGAGCACATTTACCATGCTGAAGAGACAAAAGTGTTCTTGGAAGTCGTGCCGAAGGAAATAATCACTTCAGCTACTGAGAAAATTGCCCTTGCATATGGGGTGAGGAAAATTTCAGTTTGCTGGCATGTGCAACTGTATTTCACATGTTTAGATCAGTGGTAGATGGCAAGTCTTTGAAACCATATTGCTTCAAGCACCTCGTACAAATTACCTGTGTTATTAAAAAGTCAATCCCAGTGCATTGATGTCTCAAATGATTAATTGCTTGATTTTGTGGCATAAAACCAAACTCATCTGAACAGTTGCCAGTCAAGGCTGTATTGCTTTTTGGTAATACTAGTGTTTGCCTACACAGAGGCACACTGAGTAACTAAGTGTAAGTTAATTCTAATTTCTCCTTACCAGCTCCTTTACAGAAATTCAGCTCTTGTTCATAGGCTTTTGAATTAGAAGTCACTGACATTTATTGGCATATTGGGGCAGAGTACAAATGCATAACTGTCAGATGCAGCACGTACAACTGGTGTCAAAAGGGCAAACTAAAATAAGCAGAGATCATGAACACAAATCCTAGAAAAATAATCTTGTCGCTGCTTCAAAGACCTGGAAAAGTTACATGTCAGCAAATTTGCCCCGTTGCAAATACTTTTTAAAAACAGCAGTAGAGAAACCAAACTACAATGAGAAGTGCAAGGAAAAGGGGAAAAAAATTGAAAAGAATAGAAAGCCAGGGCCCAGCAAAGAGTAAAAATGGTATTCAGCCTGCCAATGGCCGCTCCACAACAGGCTGAAAAAGGTCAGCATCTCATACTGCGGGAACACAAGAAAACCCAGTAGTCATGCCATGTGCGTGGAAGGAGTTGAGCTGCTTTTGAGAAGCATTCTCGTAAAGCAATTACCACATCTCCTGTAGAGGTAAAATGTACCTGGATTGGGCCCCAGGGATGCTTAATTTATGGAGAATGGAAGTTGCAATTCCTTTTGCTTGAAGAGAAGATCGATAGAAGGAATTCTTTGAACTATCATTAGAAGTCTGGACTCTGGGAATACACAAACAAGAACTGGAAGCTGTGGGCCTACAGGAAAGTTGGTGAAGGCTTTGGGGGTCTATATAGTATTTCCTGGTAAGGAAATTCATCCTAGATGAACTGATGTCTTGTCGTTGCTGCTAGTTCCTTCTCTCAAGAAGCATGGAGAAACAGGTTGTCAGACCTGGAGGTTAGTTTTTTCAAGCTGTGTGTTGCCCATTTCTCTCAAAGGACATTTTTGCTGATAAATGCTCTTCATCAGCTAGTTTATGCCATGCTACTCCATAGCAGCAAACCCTTTATGGTTTCACAGGTTAGGATTAACACCTTAAATAAGTTGACACTCCCTATACCATTGAGAACAGTGAAGCAGAAGAATAATCTGCTCTGTGTGAAATTTGCTGCCCAAGGTAAAACAAGTCACTAGTTAGATGCATAAATGTAAATAACCTTTATGCAAATTCAGTTTAGCTGAGATATGACTCTCTGGGTAGTATCTACCATCAGAAGAGAACTTGTTTCCTTTTCACAGATAACGAAAAGCCTCCACTGCTAACTTGGCCTTCAGAAACAAGAGAATTTATGTATTGCCATTTATTCTGGTTATCCCTCAAAAAGTGAAAATAATCCAGACTTGGATGGATATTGTATCATCCAATTCACTTTGTGTTCACATCAGGCTGCTTATAGTCTGTGGGCTGTGCGATATGGAGTGCCCTATTCAGGGAGTGAGCCAAGCCCTGACTGCCTCTGGAGACCTCACTGCAGGCTGCCTATTTAACATGGTTGTTGAAAAGTTGCACATATGAATGGAACATTTCCAGATCTAGTAGAACCTCAGAAGAAGGGACAAGAGAGTATCAATTGCCAGGGGGGTCAGATGCTGCCTGTATAGTAGTTAATTGGCAATTGGGCTGTCTTTTCACCTCCAGCTCTCTGGCTTTACATCCAGACTTACTGACATGCCCAAAAGATATTGCAGCACTAAAACATGAGAAAAAATGCTTAGAGGCTATTTTAGAAATACTCAAGGATAGATTTTTCTGCATGTATATTCAACTGTATTCAATAATGGTATAGGTATCAGCATACATCTGGTCTTCTCGCTTTTTGTCCCTTTCACTGTCTAGCTGAATTTAACTTATGTATTTTGTGTACTCTAGTGGTTTGAGAAGAAAAATTTAGAGGAATGGGATCTGCATGTGGCACCTGGAGATTGCCTGGAGGCTCCTTATATGCTAGCTTCCTTTAAATGCAGATGCTTCTCTCCCTAACATCGCCAGACAGAATCACCCCACCTCTACACTAGCGTTACTAGAAGTAAAATTTAACCCATTTATCTCTTTTCTAAAACTGCTGTAAATTAAACAATGGCATCTACAGTTTTTTACCTTTCAAATGTTCAGCTAATTGCAGTTTGGAGTCTCTTTCAAATTCAAATCGGCTGTGAGGTGCAAACTTGCATCTCTGCTTTCGCTCACCTCCTCCTCTTGCAGTAATGGAGCAGACACTTTCACTCAGATTATCGCCTTTGGTTGACTACCAAGTAACTTTCTCAACAGACAGAAAATGCCAGCAAAACAGGTGGCCAGATCTCAGTGTAAAAAAGAGGAAAATGGCATCTACCTTTCAGATCTCATGCTTCCCAACGTAATCCTGGGCAAAACATCTACAGAGCTTACGTTCACTGTGTAATATTTTTAGTACTGTAGTTTTAACACAGGAAATTCCTCCTGGAGGTGGAACACGAGCTTGAATAATAAGAAAGGACCACACAAGTAAAAGCTAGGAGCGCCAAGTGGCAGAAGTACAGCAGTTTGCACAACAGTCGGCCAACAGCTGCTTAGATGACAAGGTCCGACACAGTGCCCTTTTCTAGTCTGCTCTTGCATTTTGCTAATTCAGACTGAAGTGCCATTAGGGAGCAAATGTAGTATTGGTCTTTAGGAGATTTGAAAGGACTCAGTTTAGTAATCGGTGGTATCAATTTTCCTTATATTCTTTATTCGGCCTTTCAAATAACCCAAATTACTAGAGTTTCTCATTTTTCTGAGAAAATACATCCTCCAAAATAGTGCCTGTTCCATCCTATTCCCCAAAGATGAAAGGTGAAAATTCTTTTTAAACAATTACAATGAAAAAAAGCTAAAATTTTGTATTCCCATGGTTCAGTCAGTTTGTACTAAGGGCTTACATGGCTTTAACAACGGAGACCTTTGGCCTGGGACAACGCTGCATTAAAACTAGACTCTAATTAGCTGACAATTTCAGAACTGTATTCCTAGTTTCTTTGTTGATTTGTTTTGTTCATCATCTTCCCCAGTGCGCTGGAGACCAGGCTTTCTTTAAAACTTCAGGTCGCTCTTACCTTTAAACGCAGGATATTAACAGCTGCTCCGTTCAGTTTGCACCAGATAATGAAGCAGCAGTAAACAGATACTTTACACAATGGCTCTATTGGAAAGTCTGTGGTTTCAAAAGCCTGCCTGTGGTTCGGCAGCATACTAATTTCATTCAGATCAAGACCACAGCTCCAAGAAAGCAATACAAACTCACTCAGAAATCTACGACCAGGAGATTTGGAGAGCAGGTATCATCTGTCGGTGATGCCTCCTTTCTGATAGATCAGTTCTCTTCTGTTCTCCTGCAGCTGATATGAAGGTGGATTAACAGCCGTTGTAAACCCTGCTCCCTTGCTAATTTGTGTCCAGCCCTA